GAAGAGGGAACGGCGACATAGACAGGAGTAGGGGAACAAAAAACCAGAAAGCAAAATGGAAAAAATGCAAATCTACTGACATTATATAGTAAAGAAGAGGTTATTTTTCTTTCGTAATTGGAAAACCAACAAACAATCATAGAACAGCAGCGGCGGGACTCATTTCATTTACCGGAAGGGTCTGCATTATCAATGGGATCCAAATAAATCACATTTAAATCATACATATTGGTTTGGTAATAAAAAACAGGAGTTTTTTTGTGGTCTACGTCAAAGCTTTCCAGACACACAGAGGTCGCAATAACAGAGTAAAAGTAAAGCAGCGACTACAAGGAAAGAGCACTTTACAGCACTTTCAGGTTTACAAGGAAAGAGTCCTTTAAAAGTCTGCATCCTCTGGCAGGAGGCTGCGGTCCATCAGGACCAGAACCTCCCGTCACAAAAACAGTTTTTTCCCATCTGCTACCGGCCTTATCAACAAGGCCAAGACCCGCCGTGACACTGGACAATGTTTCTCTCCCCCATTCAGGATTTCTGCGTTACATTAATGCACAGTCTACTGTTTGTATATAGCTTCTGTGTATATATATATATATACATATATTTAAATATACACTCACAGGCCACTTTATTAGGTACACCTGTGCCCCACCCCCCCGCCTGCAGCGTCCGCGAGCCACAGCTCCGCTTTTGTTTTGTTTGTTTATTTAATAAACGTTTTGAACTTTCCTACTGACTGTCTCTCCTTGAATACTGGGTCCATCTGTCCTCGGTTCATGACAATGTCTCTAAAAGGGGGGTCATCAAAGGGAATTGTTGGCCTAGATAATAAGGTGATCTGTTCCCCTGTTAAGTTGAATTGAAAAGCCTCCTGGATGGGAAGTCAAATGTCTTCCACATTAGATAAAAAGTTCCACTTTTATGGAATGACTATGACCTGGATGACTGAGAATCTTAACTGGCACATCAGCTACAGTGTTTGCAAATGTGATGAGGACTTACAGGAAGCCTTTTTCCTCTGTCATTGCCTAGAAAGGTTATTATTTTATTTTATTATTGACCAAATACTTATTTTAAAAAACCTACAGTTTGATTTCCTGGATTATTTCCTCTCCTTTTGCCTAACAGTGTTAAAGTTTACCTAAAATGAAAATTACAAACCCCTCCTATCCTTCTAAGAGAACTTGTACAATCGGTGGCTGACTGAATACTTTTTTGCCCTACTGTATAACAGGCCACCACTTCGAACCAAGATTGGCACCAAGGTTTACATTTCAACAAATAAAAACACATTTAAAGCCAATGCACAGCCCTTAATACCCAGAAATGCTCATATTTCTATAGAAGTAGAATAGACAGGTAGAGAGGATATTTTGGGCCACGCAGCTGCTCCACCATTTATCTCAATTTCACCCTCCAGACGTGAGCGTTCAAACTTACATGGGCACATTACATTAGTATCAAACTAAGGCAGAACAAGATGGACACAAACAAAGCAGCCACACAAACAAACACACACATTCTCATCTTGCTATATGTAGTGAGGGCCACGTTCCATTGACTTGCTTTGCTTTTCAGTCATTTTCAAGCCTGGACAAAAGCCCTAAACCCTAATGATTAGCAGTGCATACGTCACCCTAACCATAAAACTCAACTCAATTCATACCTTAGCCACTAGCCTAACCATTAGCAAAATAATACGTAAAGACCAGAAAATGCCCTCCTCAACGGGTCCTCAGTTTGATGGTGAAATCTGACAGCAGGACACACACACACACGTTGGATTGTCATGACACCAAAAAGTCAAACTCGATATTAACACCCAGGAAAATATTTGATATTAAATGCCATTTTCAATACATGAGAATAAAATTGGCTACATATTTAAAGGCAACAAAATATTTATGTACATGAGAAACTCATGGAAACTCGTGAGAAATGTTTTTTTTTTCAATCTCAACATGAAATTTGCTTTTTTTAAAGGAATCAGAGATGCTTTTTGTTAAATAAGTTTACAAATAAATGCTAAATATTAGTGTATCCAGAGGCAGGTTTTGAGTATCTATGCTTTTCAGATACTTTTGACAACCCTTCAAAAATGTGAGTAAAAGTAATATAATCATGTGTCAAACTGGTGTTTTAGGAGTTATTTCTCAGGAAGATAAAACCAGTATTTCACTGGGTACACAGAGCTTAAATTCAAAAGCCTTTAGTCTAATGCAACCTTAGACTTGCTATAGTTATTGACTGCTGTGTCATCTCAGTCCTGCTTTACTCTGATAATAATTCCTGTTTATTCTCTTTACTATAAGCTGGCCTGCTCAAACAAATTATAACTGTAATACAATTAACCAAGCAGTACAC